ACAGAGCTTGTTTCCTATATTATAATTAATACTAACAGTCAGTAAACTTCTCAGAAAAGCAGGATCATTCTACAGCCAAGTATTTCAATACAGATTTTAAATCTATTTTCTGTCAAATCTATTTTCTGTTTTAAGGGAATGAAATATTTAAATAACATAAAAATACAAATATCCAGTTCTACTTTTCCCTAGGCTTATGAGTATGATTTGCATGTAATGATAAAATTAGAACTGCAAGCTTGCATAGTTATTTTTACTGTAGCCCACTTCTGATGTTAAAATAATTTCTATGCATTTTAGACATCCATTTAATTGTATTTATTTATCAACACATTGAAAGTCATTGTAGGAATACAACAGCACAGAGAAGCTTACCTGCCTGTTTAGAAGCTTATTTACTACTATTTACTTTCTACTCATTAGCAAAACTGAAGTTTTAGGAAACCTAACACATATGGCTGGCTCAGTGCCTTAATTAAAAACTTTATTCTACCATGTTAGTGAGTGGAAATAAGGAAAAAAATCACTATAATTTAGGTTTGTTTTTCTCTACAAGTCTGTGAGCACCATTAAAGTTAGAGCACTGTGGAAACATTGTGTTCCCCAGAGAGGAACCTGGCATTGCAGGCTACAGAAGAATCACCTCTAGTTCCACACACCACTCTAACTTGCTCACAGCAAACTTGCAGTGTCAGAAACAAATAAGCAGCTCACATACAGCAGAGCTTGTGCACAAAACTTTTTAAATTCTAGCACGTTTTCAGAACACCTTTTTATCCAAACCATAAATCTGAAAAGAAACTACAGTGTTATCCGAAACCTGAAGCAAAAGCAGTATGGACTTTCTGACTCTGGTGCTTAAAGTATGAAGTAAAAATGTAGTCATATACAAAATCACCACATATATACCCCAAATTACATCCTGTAGAACACATTCACACTGAAGGAAACCCTTCTCTCTGCCACCATGGCTCCAAACCAAGCTGTTTCCTCCAGTGAACCACCCAGCTGTCACGTATTTTCCCTCTTCCAGACCATCTGCTTTTTTTAAGAAAAAATAAATAAATTTCATCTCCTTCTGAACCAGCAACCTGAACTAATCTGCGCCTCACCTGCTACCTGCAGACCACAGACCACAGCTTCCAACACCACAACTTGAAGAATACTATTAGGTATTTTATCTGCCAAAAAAAAAAAAAACCTGGAAGAACAGACTCTTGTGCATCCACATGTCATCTACTTTTCCAATGTGAGTTATAAAGTTCTATCCTCAAACTCAGATGAAGGTGATCATCAGTTATTTGAATTATAGGAGGGCTCACAAGTCCTCCTCAAAGCCTAGCTCTCCATCACACTCAGAATGCTACAAACACAAAGAGGGCCATTTCTCCAGGCAGCTCCACACCTCAATTCACTGTACAGAAAAAAAACTTATTGGGGTCCCTGGGTACCAAATCTTCAATTAGGCTGAGAGCTTTTCCTTCTTTAGAGGAAAGTACAAGAATCAGGAAAGCCACAATACATTTGTGTTTGCTGTTAATGCTGGAACACCACATGGGGTTTTACTAATCAGAAGAGACCTGCTTTAGAAACACGGTAGGTAGCACCAGAGGAGCACCAACTCCATTTCCCATTACGTGCATGGGATGCAGTACACATAGTAAAGAATTACACTTGTGCACAATTCTAAAACTACATTTAAGTTGGGGTGCATTTTTTGCATATTCCTAGAGGAAAACAAACCAGAATTCTGCTTCAGGCAAAAATCCTCCCTTGGCCATCATGGAAAGAGCAGCCTTCCTTCCAGGCAGGTTACAAAGTCTCCAGCCTCAAAGAGCAACACCGCCCTGGGCTGACTGAAATACGGAGCCCTGCAAAACAGCAGCATTTCCGCTTCAAGATGGGCTACCAGGAGGCCAGCCCAACTAGCCAGCTCTCCAAGTGTGGGGAGATGAGCCTGGCAGAGTGTTCAGGCACCTCATTTACAGACTGAATGCCATCCCTCTGAGGAATGCAGGTCATCCCTGAAAGCACAGTTTGAGCTCCCCAAGAGGGAAAGCTGGTGAAAGCTTAGCGCAGAGAAACTTGCTGAGAAATAAGGGTCCTGTGGAGAACATGAAGAGCTTCCACAGTTTATTGCCTAGATCGAGTGCCCGTTACCCTGTTTTTCTAAGAAATTAATGTAAGAGTAAACTATGCTTTTAAAAATAATTAAAAAAAAAAAAAAAAAAAAAAAAAAGATGGGCATGCTACACATACTTTTGTAGGGACACCACATACTGAACATGTTGTTCTTCTAACACTACAGTGAGGACAAGGAACTGGGCAGCAAGATGATGCCAATGAATCTGCCATCACTTCTGGAGCAGTAGGATAAGATGGGAAGGTATGAAAGCCCTCATCCGAGCAGTACTCCTACAATCCAGCCTGCTGCTTTTCTCCTTGGAGAAGAGAGGAAACAGCTGTCCAGTGTTGCAGTGCACCTCCTGGAGACAGAGGTTTCTGTTGCCTCTTTGTCCCCAAACATGGACACACATCCAGAATTTTCCATCTTTCCCAGGTTGTGGTTGGCTTAGCCACCACAAGACCAATCCCCTAACACCCATTGGACCCCTGACCTGTCGGTAACCCATCCATGTATTCTTACAGGACAATGCCTTTGTAAACCCACCTACCTACCTGTTAAAAACCCCTGGCCCCAAGGCCACATGCTCTTTCGCTTCTCCCCCTCGGGTGGGTGCTGTTTCAGTGCCTGCCTCAGGTGTTTTTTGTTTGTTATTTTCATGTTATTAAAACCTTTTATTTTGGAAGAAAGCGATCGTTGCCCATCCATCCCTCCTTTAACCGCCACTGTCCTCCTCTTCGCTGAAGACCACCCTGGAGGTACTACTGGGGTCCCACTGGGGGTGTTTTCTTCCCAGGCAAAACCAGCGGGTTTAAAAACCCTCTCAAAATATATTTTTGAATAGTAATAGTCCAGAGCAGTAAACTCTGCCCAGCCAGCCAAATCCTACCACCTGCACATGTGCCGGAGAAGCTCCTGAACCACAAGGGAGGAAGGGAGGGAGAGGAAGGGGTGGAAGCTCAGAGCTTCCCGAACGTATGCAACCCACCACCCCCACCACAGCAAGGAGCGGCTTTTCCGGTGAAAGTAAATTACCTCAGCCAGCTAAACGGAGAACCCTTCAACGCGTCTTGCCCATGTTCAGGCATGCCTTCTTGGTGACTGTTCCTAACAAAATCAATAGACTGATTGGGGGCTTAGGACTGAGGACTGCAAGTCTTTCTTACACCAGGTCATGGGCTGCCTGGGAAGAGCCCTGTCACCCCTCATCCTACAACCACCAGCAAAGTCCAGAAGGGTGGGGTGGCAGAGAGGCATACCCTAATTTGTTATTGCCAGCACTATCTGCAAGATATTCCCCACCCAGAAAGAAAGGGCACATGAGGAATGACCTGGGCTTCTGCAGTTTCTCAGATGACATTTCTCTTTCCTGTCACTCCCTGGGTCTAAAGGCACATCCTTGCCCAAGAGCAAGAACTGCTGCATTACACTGCTCAGCAGAGATATGAGCAGCTTGCTCCTGCTAAACTGAAGTCACTCATCTCCCAAATAGCAGCAATTGCTAAGTGCCATACTTTTCAAAGGAGAAGAAAAGCTGAGCACTTCTTTCCTTTCCATTTTTGGAACTGTAATCTGCACAGCTACAGAGCTGCAGCTGACACCACAAGCACTCTTTGCAATGACCAGAGTAAGCAGCAAAAATATCACTGAATTTTCAGAGTAACTGTCCCGACACTCTCCTCTCCTCTATGCACACAGAATCTGTAATCTTCTTTTCAAATCCTGAAGCACAATTAGAAACCTTCCTCGTCTTAATATCTTCTTTACTTAAGCACCCAAACTTTTAATTGTGCTGTGCTGATGTGGTTATGGAAATTCTGCCAGATGTCCAGGGCTAGCAGATCTGCTGAGGAACAATTCAATCGCAGGGATGTGAGCTTGGCTAATTACCCTCCTCCCTTGTGCACACATACTGATGTTATTACATATTTAACTACAACAGACAAGACCTTATATGCTGCCGAACAGAACAGCATGAAGCTCTGAAATAAGATATCATTTTTCACTTTTCCTTTATGCAGCCTTACTTCAGTAGGAATGAGCTTGCAGATGAGATGAAAAGTATTTCTTTTCTAAAGCACATGGGGTTTTTCTACTGTCCAGTGAGCAGAAAATGGAATAAATTATAGCAAGACTCATGAGGACAAGGTGAGATTTTTGTTTTTTCTTGCAGTTATTATCCTGGGCACCTTTAGATGAATATGCAATCAGAATAGAAATTTTTACTAGATGAATAAAATTAGGATATGTTGTGCTATAAGCATAGCAGTAAAGTTTCAGTGCATTTTCAATCCAGTTATTAACATCTGAATAACTGCTTTCAGAAGCATTAAACAGAATGCTGCTTTCTTCAGTGTCACTTTTGGTTGAAAACACAATTTTTTAAAAGAAACTGCCGAATTCTCTATCCAGACCATTTTTTTTAATTCACAATGGAAAGCTCCAGCCAATACTTGCATCCAAAGGTACCAGCAGCAAAGTAATTTTAACGCACCCTAAGGTCAGCATTTCAAGCACTCATATACCTTATACATTATTTAAATGCACCCTAAACCCCAAATATTTACTAACCACTAACAACAATCCGGTAGAAAGCATCCTGAAAACATCTGCTATTTCTTGTCTGCGTAAGATATTAGTAACAGAAACTGACAGTTAATGACAACATAATAATTTAAGTGTGTTGACAATTATTGAACTGAACGCACTTCAGAGAAATGTAAATGCCAGAGGAGGGCAGCTACAGCTCCATGACTAATGTGTGCCCTGGATTCTGACCATCAGCTTGGCTATTTCAGTTTTGTGACCTAAATCTCCCTACCCTACCAGAAAGAAAAAAAGAAACAAAACCCACAAACAACAACAAACATCTTACTTGTTCTGCCTTCTCCAGTGGTTTTCTGTCCGCCTGCAAAAACTGACAGTTTTCTCTTGCCAGCTTCTGGACCAGGTCAATCCGTCCGATGTCATCTCTTCCTTGAAGCTTGCACAAAACCCCTGCCTTAAGGGTGGGAGAAAGAGCAAACAGATACTTAAATCCGCAGTCCCAGGACATGACACCGCCACAAATGTCAGCCTTAAAAGAAACACATCTGTTTTCTCATATCTGCTTGACTTCGGTGCCTTGTGCTGAACACAAACAAGTTGCTGCTTCCCGGGAAACAACTGGAGAGGAGCTGAGGCACATTTGAATCTTCAAATGTATCTACTTTGGCAGAATGAAGGAAGGGCTAACTAAATCAACTGCTCCTCTGAGTGTGACTAGCAGATACGCTGTGTTTTATTTGTTCCTGTCAGCCTGTTTCCTGTTACATAAGAGAACAAGAGCAAGAGGTTAAAAACTCATGGGAAAGTTAGCCAGGAACAGCCCTGGAAAAAGAATGAAGCGCTACACAAGGCACTCCTAAAAATAACAGGCTACGACTGCCTCTGCTCCTGAGCCAACTATTTTTCATGCATGCAAGCTTCAAGACTTAAGACAGTTGTGCCACATTTATTTATTCTGTAAGTAACAAATTGGTATCTCCTGTCCTTTTTTTTAGGGAAGAAAATTAGAATAGCTTTAAGAACTATGTTAGAACCCTTTTTTTGGCTAATATTCTGCTTGTTGTTGAAGCCTTACTAATAGTGCTCCATCAACACATTCAGCACTGGTTGTTTTATAAAAAATGCCATATATATATATATATATCTAAAATGAGATTCGTGCTTGCACACAGGCGTACCAGACCTGTGACAAAGTTATCTGATAGGGGCTAAATTGCTCCCTGCAAAGTCATGGGCTAATATCACGGTCCATGATTTGGTCATGGATATAGCCTCTGTATAACTGAGACCTGGCTCAATAATACTGTATGGCTTCTATAAGCCCAGAAGTTTCCAGCATATGCCCTGGGAGGGTCAGGCACGTGGCATGGCTATAGTATTGCTATATGACTTTCAGTGCAACCTCAAAATAACGTTTTTCCCCACTTCCTCTACCCTTTTCTTTCTACTGTTCATCCTCACTTTAACTGAATCAGTATCTACCCCAAAATTCACAAAACATACTATGAGATGGAACCAAAAGCCAGGGGTGCCCTGACCACTAACCCACAGTGCCATGCAGGCTCCAATCCTTTGGCCTTGAGAAATTCCTGCCCATCACAACTGAGAGCATGAGAGTGCCCACCCAAACCATCCTACAGCCCACCAGTTTCTCCACAGAAGAAGGGAATGTGGGTTACAATTTCTTCAGCTGAGGAGGAAAAAAAAACTGCTTTCTAACTAAGTGCTTTAATGTTGATGGAATAAAAATAGGCTCCACAACCAAATCCAAGGAGTCATCTTTATTGAATTATTTGAAAGAAATTTTTACATGCCTACATTCTTCCCGTCTGCTTGAAGGCATCTCCTTACAAGCTTACATGAGGCACCTGTGCTCTGGAGAAGGGAAGAATTTCAGAAACAGCCTATGCTTTGCATGTCCTATGCTTAGTCCTCAACCTCCTGAGGAACCCAGCTTTCCCACACATGGAACCTACACAGTGATCTGAAGGTCAGAAATCCACCAAGAAAATATGGAATGGCAGCACCTAACCTGAAGGTCCTTACATTTTCTATGAGATTAGGTCCTTACATTCTAAATCAAGGACATGGATGTATAAACCAGTTCTGACACACCATTATCACTTGCAGATTAGTAATGAGACTGTTTTTAGCAAATGTGGAAGAACTAGTTGTCCAAATTTATTTAATCAATAGATAAAAAAAAAGGTATTTAAGATAATATTTTTTTACTCTACAGCAGACAGTTTAAAAAAGATCTGAGGAGCTGTCTCCTAAAATTCTCCTTTTTCCTCAGGTAATTCACACAGGGGACCTAGCCAATTGTCACAAACTTATCTGAGGTCTGATATCTATACTTCACAACACTTTCATGGCTTAAGGACATCAAGTAGCTTCTAGAAGACAGTATAGCATGTATGTGCTGTAATCCCCCCAGGCTTGTAGGCTAAGGACAACTCAAAGCGTTATGGCCTATCAAGGCTTTGGGACTCTAAAGACTTACAGTCTTTCTGGATCTGGGATCTTAGTAACGCAGAGACACTTTTCACACCTTTATGTTGTTCCCAGACAAGCCACGCTATGACCTACAAGTGGCATGGATAGTTACGAGTCCCTGTACTTCAAATGTCAGATGGACATCGATAGAAATGCAGCGTTCGCTCTGCTGAACAAATACGTATTGATCCTCAGTGTATGAGGCAAAGCCCAGTGGTTAAAACCACTCACGTTAAGATGAGGAAGGAGGACTTCAGTTTTGGGGTGACAGTTGGCTTCAAGTGGAAGAAACATCTTGGGGAAAGACAACTTTTTGAACACATGGGCCTTGCTCTCCTTCACCCCTTGTCCTCTGCTTGTGTTCAGGCAGACCGTATTACTGCTTTCTGCATGGATGAGCACCCCACGGGAGAAGTAACTCTAGATGCAAACCCATTAGCCCTGCAACAAATATGGTGTTTATTCAAACTGGCAACTTGATTAAAGAATCATACTGTCCTGTTTCAAATAACAGCCAAAAAGAAATCTCACTTTTTAACATGGCCCCTCCTCCCCCAACTATTCTTTGATTTAAAGAATTGCAGAGAACATGAAAAATATATCTCTTTTATTGCATTTCCAGAGGATAAAAGGTCAACTAAAAAACTTCTGGGAGGGCTAAAGCATTAAGTTCATTAATTGATGACAGCTTCTAAAATCTGGTTGGAAAGATGTCGATAGAGCTGCCCATTAATATTGAGAATTGAAAACTATTGGTAATTTAATTTTCAAGCAATATCTTTTATGCTGTTTGTTAGATGAAAGGGTAAAGGTAAGCTGCCCTACCTGCAAAGTGCAATTTTGATTTGTATCTGATGCAAGCACTCACCCTTCAAAATCCTACATGCCCGGATGTTGGCGTTTAGTCCTCTAATTCACGTACACACACAGAGATACAAATACTAACTTAGGTGAAGGTGAAAATCACAAAGTTGCATATTTTAACTGGTTTTAATTTAATGAATGATATAAGAAGTAGGAGCTTTACATAAGACTTTACTACCATTCATGGCACAAAATGACTATAATTCAAGGTGTTTATGCAATATTTGAAATGAAATAAAAATGTTTAATCGGAAGGAAAGCAAATTAGTCACTACTGAGGTTGGAAATCAAAGATGCTGACAACACATTTTGTTTCAGCACGTCCATTGGAAAATATTCCCTCTGCAAAGGCCATAAATGAACACGCTAGCAGTGACATGGAGGGTATCAGGACAGACCTAGGCAGACAGGATGGGATTTTTTTATTTACATTGTTTGCAGCATGCTTGGTTTTAAAAATCCCTGTACTTAATTTTTTCCACACTTCAACAAGTCTTGTCAACCAACTCCAGTGTAAGTCAAGCCTACATGCCACAGAACGGTGTTTAGAGCAGGAGATACACCCTTCAGCTCTACTAACAGAAGAAGCTTGCAGTGGTTTGGTTTTCCTCCACTGCACGGCTGTCTCCTTCTCTGTCTGGTGACAACAATATAATTATTACAGGCTTCACCTTTGATCAACCTGAAAACTTAAAACCATATGCCACTGTCTTGAAAGAACATGTGCTTTGCCCCAGTCACATGCACAGTCCCACTAAACAAAAAAAAAAATTCATTCACACCTTTAAACCAAACTTTTTGTGTTTGTAGGATGCTGGGTTTATGGCACTGACACATAGGAGTGACAGCTGCTTTGATAATGCTCCTGCTCTCCTCCCAGTTGGGCACTTGGACACTTGTTAACTGCTCATTTAATAATTATTTAATTTTAAATGTATTTCAAATTCTTCCACATTTTCGAAGGTGGTTTCCAGCCAAATAAATGCTGAGCAAATCCTGTCTTTCTTGCACATGGCTTTTTTAGTGGACAAGGTGTGAAGAAAAAAAATTCAGAGACAGGAACTGCAAGTTGCATGTGCAGGAAGAAGAAAAGGTGGCAACTGGTGAGTAATGTAACATTTGCAAGAAGAACAAAAGAAAAAAAAATTAGTCAAGACTGGGAGAATTCAATTTTAAATTAAAACCGATAATTGGTACCAATCCAATGAGCAATACAGTTATACTTGCACAGTTTGAATGCATGAATTGAATGATGATTAATCAAAAAAGATTCAAAGAATTTACTAAAAAGCGTAAGCAATTCCATAATCAGATACTCTAAAAGGCAGTTAAGTTTCTTCTGAGCAGTATCTTGGTTGTAAATGAGGGCAATCGGAGAAGGAAAGAAAAAAAAAAAGGTTGTTGCTTACACTCAAGTGACTAATAAGTATCCTCATTTCATTGCATGTCTACTTACAGCAATTATAATTCAATCAAAATGTCACATGCCCTTGCCTTCTAAAACACATCTCATTTTATTTTCACATCTGGTATATGCTACGTACATTATCTAAAAAGAGCAGAGAGATAGCTGAAGAATGCTATTTGATTGCAACATCATGGGATTAATTCCCAGAGTAATCATCAATCTCATTCTAAAATAGTCACATGAGACAAGATCCAGCAGACTTTCTCCTTCCTTCAGGCTCCCTGGGCAGAACATCAAGGAAAATAGTCCCAGAATTATTGAAAGCAGATCTCTCAACCTGTAGATCTGAAAAAGTTCCATAGATACCACTAATCTTACACATTTACCTGAGCATCAGAGGTATCCTTGAGCTCTTCTAGTCCTCTTATTTCTTGACTGCTGTTTCCTTCATTTTGATGCATTGCTAAAATAAGAAAGAAAGAATGTATTGGAAGTAGCCAGGTTTAAATCAGAAGCAGCAACAAAGCAGCATAGCCCTGTTTAGATCCAATAGGATGAACATTCAAGAAACCTTGTTCCAGGTTTAGCTTTCCAGTTAATTCTCTGTGGTTTGGAATGAATCCTATAAGGTATACCTCATTTGGCTTGGACAAGCCCTAAACAAGCTATACCTTATTTTCCCCAGG